TACTACAATGCTGCCATTGTCATGTTAAATGCTCTGTCAATATTGAATCCCAAGCTCTTAGATATTTACTTAGATCTTGGGTCAGTGAGTCACACTGTGTCAGGCCCCACCAAAAAAAAGCATGAGCACTTGTCACCATACGAAGGAGGAAATGTGATGAGCAAATACAATGGTACTGTAAATATTACAACACTTTTTTTTTTTTTTTTTTTTTTTTTTTTTTTTTTTTTTTTTTTTTTTTTTTTTTTTTTTTTTTTTTTTGCTCATTTCTACTCCATACAGTGTTTACATAGTTACACACAAGACCAGCCACACAGTCATTCACATGTAAAGCAGTTTCAACTTTTTAAAATTCATCAAATGCACTTATAATATATATTTTTTTATATCTCGTGTATACATGTGTGACACAAACATGAGAAAGGCTATAACTACTTAGCGGTGTCTGTACACACACACACGCACAGAGCAAAACACTGATTTTCTATGCTATCCATTTACATACAGCCTCTTATTTGATAATGAGCTTTATCAGCCAGGGTGTAGGCATCTCACACAGAAAATCTCTGTAGGTGTCTATGTGTATGTGTGTGAAAGAGAGAATGAGAGTGTGACTGCATCAGACGCTTAATAAATCCTCATCTTAGATGTTAAGATGTTTAAACCGTTTCAGTTTCCTTTCACATGACTCAGAGCAAATGTGCTTACAATTATTATGGAAAATCTATTTTAAAAGGATAAGAATTTGTACACTGGGTTATTATTAAGCTATTAAATGATTACTTTGCAGTTGACATGCTTTATTACTATCGATTGCTACTGCAGAATCTAAATGCCATCCATCTAAGAATTAAAAAAAGTAAGCTTGCTTTTATTGATTTACTGTTTTAGCTTAGTGTTTTACGTAGCTCTTATTGCCGAGTAGAAAATGAGGAGGACAGCATTATGTATCCTGTGCTCTTTTTGCTCCTTTGTGGAATCAGTAAAGTATATGCATCCATCTATCTATGAATGAATGAATCGAATGAAAGAACGACATAATGATTGCCAGTAGGAGAAAGCAGCAGGTGGCACCTGGTCTACAGTTAAAGCATGACATCATGTAGCTTTTTACTCTTATAAGAACTGCTCATGACATTTCTGATTTAATTTATTGTCTGTTAGTCAGCTTTATAAATGAATTGGAATAAAATCCTCACTACAATGTTTACTACAAAGAGTGATAAGCATGGAAAAACTCAGCATTCTGTAATGTTTTGTTAAAGAAATACAGTGCAGCAATGTTTGTGGTGAGGAATAACGTGTGGAGCTGTAAGAATGTTTTATTTTCTAAACAAATGTATATACAAATTTATATATTAAACTTACATTGCACCTTTCCAAAAATCAAGATACAGAATATGAAAATACAGCATGCCAGCAAATCTGTGTATCATCCATACAGTCCAAAAGGTTTTTTTTTTCTTTTTTCCATTTTATTAAAAAAAAAAAACCCCAGATTGTTTCATATAAAACAAGCAACCGTATAAAACAAGTGTTCATAGGAATCAATGTAAAAATCCTCTGCATGTTCATATAAGACAAGTGATCAGATCCTGATTTCTCAGCTTTTAAATTCTAAAACATGAAATGAAAACTGGAGATACTGTATGAAGATTTGAAAGGGAAGACACAGGGAAAATAGCTAATAGTTGCTGGAAATATAGCGTCACTGGAGATGTAAACAGATGTCATAGTGTATATCTGACACACCAATATTTCTGCCAATCTGGCTCAAACTTGTTTCAAGAAATGCTCGGCGAGGAGCAGACACAGGTTTTTACCAAGACCACAACTCAAGAAGGAAAGGAACTTGGCTGACAACTTTGGCCAGGTGGATAAAATGAGGTAAAATTGTTGAGCCAACAGTATCATTGTCTTTAATGTAGCGTAAGCTTGGTAACACTTATTTAATTGATTTGTTTTTACAATTCGACCACCGCATACTCATTTAAACACAATGATATTGGTGGTTCAACAAATTGACCTCATTTATCAACCCGATCGCTGCCTTTTTTCATGAGGTTGACATCCACTTGTCCTTTCTTCTGGGTCAAAATATACAGTACACATCAAATTCAGTATATAGGCCAATATTCCAAAACATCATATTCAGAGTCTACTGTAGATTGTCCACTAAATTCATAGCCAATGCTATAAATGGGTGAATTTACAAAACAAGTAGTTTTAGGGTGTTTTTTTTTAAAAATTGGATAAGGATTGGAATGGATGATACATGGATATATTCAACAGTATATACTCTTACATGAGGAGGGTGAAATATTTACCTGAAAAGCAAAAAAGAGGTAGAAGAGATGAAGATATTAAAGTGAGACTGAATGATCTGAATGACGTGTTCAGTCTTAACTCGGGTACAACTAGATAACTCCAGCAGCTGAGGACGTGAGCGTAAACCCAGGGGTGCTGTAGATGACTAGCTCTACTAGATAAACAGCAGAGTCTGTAACAAATGTAGACACAGAAATGTACCTAATGCACCTGCACTTTCTATATAAATCATGTGTGTATAATTTGTATAGAATGGAAATGATGTTCAGAATCTGTGGATGTTTGTATTCCTAAGCAAAAGTGCTGAATCATTCATGCTTAGAGCGGTGTTGTTTAGGGCTCCCTGGAGACCATCGCTCCGTCTCTAATGTTTCCATACACCTAGTATGGTCAAAACAGATGTCCTACAGGGTTGATGACAGAGCGTCCATGTTACACATCGGCTGAGATTTTGTTCATGCAGGAAGGTCATACAGTGTGGACTGATGCATAAGAACGTCATCAGTTCACCGAGTCGATCACATCAAACTTTGGATGACACCAAACCCACAAGCAGCACCAAGTTTGGCTTCACTGTGTGTGTTTATGCTCTCTAGTGCCATAAAATATTCAGAACATGTAATAATACTTTTTAATATTTAATCTGTGCATTTGCATTTCCCATGGTCGTGTTCAGGCCCTCATTTGCTATAAAAGATAAGATCATCTTGATTTTAGTGAAGATGAAGAGGGAGGGATTGTGTGTGTGTGTGTGTGTGTGTGTGTTTGTGTGTGTGTTTGGCGGAGTGTGGGATGTGGGAGTAGTAGGGGACTAAGAAAGGAAGACAGAAAGATGGTTCCTGGAAGACTGGAGGTTTCTAGCCGGCTGTTCTACTTTTCCCGCCAGTGCTCCTGAGGCGTACTCAATTCCCAAGTTCCTCTGCTGTACTCTCCATTTGCCACTTTCTACTCATTACACTCTGTTTATAGCCACCTGATGCCTAATGCTTATTACCAAACACGGCACCATAAATCGGCAAGACAGCTTATGCACGAGTGTGTGTACATGAAAGAGGGAGAGAGAGAGAGAGAGAGAGAGAGAGAGCAGGAAGAAGAGCCAGCCAGTTCATTATTTGAAATGACATGAAGGAGTAAAGAAGAAAGAGGAGAGTTGAACGTGATTGTGAGACAGATGGCAAAGACTGAGAACGCAGAGAGAAAGTGGTGTAGTTGAGAATTGGGGAGCTGCGATTCAGACGCGAGATCCTGTCAGTATGGCTGAGAGAGGGGAGCAGAGTGATGGAGAGATGATGAGAACAGATGGAGGTAAGGATGGTTGGATGATGACATGCGACTGTGGGCAGGATAGATAGGCTTACTGGCTGCTGTTTTTTTTTTTTTTTTAATATGGCTCTCGTTTAAGGTAGAATCTCAGGCTAAATAAAGACAAGTCTCATTTCAGCTCATTGCAATTCATTTGATTTTTTATTATGAACACAATCTGAAACTGACAGCATAGAAAAGCCTCCTTTCAATGTAAAAACAAAGTAAGAACAAAGTTCAAGGGCTCCCTTATAATTCATTTCATGAATAATTTCCATTAGTGTGAATAGTATAATCCAGCTATTACACAGCTATTAGAACATTATATAAATACAAACCGCTTATATTTTTTAAATGGAGTCATTAGAGCTTTGCGTTCCTGAAATGGTCTGTCGCAGAACCGGGTTACACCAAGTTAAGATTTTGTATCATATAACAGCACTTTTCCTATTTTTTTTATTTATTTATTTTTAATTAAAGTTTAGGTTCTGTTAGATTAGAAGTGACATTTATGTTGTTCACACTGTGTTTACAAAATTGTAAACCCATTTATTTCAGTTCATTCATTAGCCCAATAATTATAATAGCAAAACCATAACTACAACAAATATAACAGTAATAGTTGATAATAACAATAATAACCTCCGCCATCATCATGTCCTTAACCCACTTTATGGGTCCCACTTTGAGAACCTGGCTGTAGAGGACATAATATCAGTCTGCTCATTTTACAAACGTGTGTTAACCACAATTACAAATGGCATCTTCTTTACCATCCGTTAAAATAATAAATATTTATATAGGGTTCATGGTGCTTGTTTTGCAAGTCTTTTTTTCCAATCCAGATATTCCACAATCTCACCTTTCAATTGTCCAGTTATCATCTTTCTCATCTAATCTCAAGTCGAATCTAATCAAATCTAATCATAATGAGAAAGTTTCTCAAAATTACAGCTTAGTGTTTGCTAAAGTTGGCTTTGTTTTGTAATTTCCATACATTGACACTTCCAAAGCCAATGCCAAAGAGAGTGTATGAAATGGTTTTCATTGACATACACCTTATCAACATTATTATCTTTTAAGGCTTTTTTTTCTATAGGTCTCACTGATTTTGATTAGGCTAGAAACCATCATTGACTCATTCATCACTGAATATACATGCAAATGCCAAAGCAACTCTTGTTGTTTTTGTTCTTCTTTTGGCTGCTCCCGTAAAGGGTCGCCACAGTGGATCATTGGTCCGCATATTTGATTTGGCACAGTTTTTAATGCCAGATGCCCTTCCTGACACAACCCTTTCCAATTTTATCCGGGCTTGGGACTGGCACTGGAAGTGCACTGTCTTGTGCAAACCCAGTGGCTGGGGTTGGTTCCCTGGCTGGGAATGGAACCTGGGCCTCAGCAGTGAAAGCACCGAGGCCTACCCACTAGTCCTCCAGGGACCCTGTGAGAACAACTCTCATCAGTGTCTTATTAGTGATTCCATATCCTGGCCATGTGAAAAGACAACAATGTTCTGCAGAACAGTTGTGAGCCATAAACAAATCAAACCTGTCAAAGACTACTCTAAGGTGCTATGGCAGGTTGAAAACCAAGCGAGTGGTTAATAACTGCGACAAACAGTGCATGAAAGTGCTTGATTCAATAGAATGGTTTTGATCAGAAAATAAAAAATTTCAACAAAGCACGCACAACACCTGATTAGGACCACAAGATAATTGAAAACAGTTGAGAACATGATATTAATGTAAGCTGATTGTAAACACGAGCACACTTAGTCCTTGCACAGGAGGCATAGTGTGAGACTTTCATAGAATATGCTGGGCCACGTTTTAGATTTGTATCGCCACTTAGTGTAAGAATGTTCTGAGTGACTCGCGTAGGTATGCATGTATCCACAACTGGAATCGATCTGTCAGATCAAAAACAAACGAAAAAAAAAATAAAGCTTTTTTTTTTTTTAGCCAGTCTACTTAGCGAGCTGAAAAAAGACCATTACCAGACAAGTTGCACAATAATAGAGTTAATGGTTAAAGTACTCTATATTTTAAAAATAGCTATGAGCAGATGGTGTCAGAGTGTAAGCTTGTAAACTGTCTTTGTAGCATTGCCAAAGAATTGACTGACAACTTCCTAAACAAAGACTAATAATGAACAGAAGATTTTGCTAATTAGGATTGGTATGTGCGAGAGAGAGAGCGAGAGAGAGAGAGCTCATAAACTCAGCTGGGAAATCTGGCATCACAAGAAAAACCTGAAGTGAGGTAAAACCTTACAGGACGCAAAGTTTTTTATGATACTAAAGCATTTAGTGTCAGGTTGGATCCAAATTTTTTTTTTTACTTTAGCCCATGTTTTACATTTTTTTTTTTCTGTTTGCTGTAATGCAGAAGCTAGAGCAAATGCAACATACTGACAACTATAATGAAAAAAGAAAGAAAGAAAGAAAGAAAGAACAAGTGTATTGGCTACCAGTTTCAGAGTTTGAGGCTGCGTTTTGTTTTGTTTTTTTGTCTGAAGATCTGCAGCTTCCTGTCAGCTTGGTCTTCATTACTAATAAGATTTCTGTTGTTGACCTTTATTGTTAATTCTAACATTACATTTGTTTGCACTGATTGGTCTGATATTGCTGATTTAAACATATCATTCAAATTGTAATTCAAATCACAGGTTTATATTAATTGTCTTATTCTCATACGTGAACATTTCTATAGTAACAACTTACATAGAGAAGTGATTAAAAGATGTGTAATTGTTGATATATAGTATATAAGTTTTCTATGAGATGTTTATTTAGCATTTTGGAAGGAGTCTCCAGTGTCAGCACTTTGTGACCATCAAAGGTAATGCTGTAACTTTAAGTATTTGAGTTTTTTTTAATAGATACAATTTCTTTTATTTTCTTTCATCCTATACACTTGTTGTTAATGTAAGAGTTGTGACTGCAGGGAGGGAAATACAGTAAAATATGTGCGGTATTGTGCAGCATGGTGAGCGTGCTCTAACTGGCATAGCTGAAGCGTAACGATGACTATTGTGCACAGGCCTCCCTTTTCCCTATCTCTTTTCCTCAGTTGCTTGTGTGCCAGTGAGCAGACCATGTTTGCAGGCCTCTCACTGTTTGAGCCGGGCGCTGATTCAAAAGCTAAGCCTGTTGTAGAGCTGCACTGAACCACTTGGGGTTTGTGTGACCTTGTGCTCTAAGCTAAGCGAAAGGAAGGGTGGCGAGCAGTAAAGCCAGGCTCAATCCCTCAAGCCGAACACAGCGTAGGATTCTCAGTGAAGTGAATCACTGCACACACAGTCCAGGAACACTCGATAGCACTCACCGAGACTCCAAAAATGCTCAGCATGAATGTAACAGCACTCCCTATGTCACTAACACATCACTAACAACTAAAACTCCATAACTCAGAGGTGTAAAAACCCTCATGGCATTTACATTCGCAGCTCTATGCTGCATAACATCTTATATTCCGTAACACTTCCTACATTCTCTGATGCATTTGAAACACACATTCAATCTGTGTTCTTTAATCAGGGTTTAATTTTCCATGCATTTACGCTTTATTAGGAACACCTGTACAAATGCATATTCATGCAGTTATCTAATCAGCCAATGATGTGGCAGCAGCACGATGCAAAAAATCATGCAGCACCATTCTGTGTAAACTATAGAGACTGATGTGTGTGAAAATCCCAGGAGATCAGCAGTTTATGAAATACTCAAACTAGCACATCTGGTACCAACAACCATGATACGATCAAAGTCACAGAGATCACACTTTTTCTTCATTCTGATTGTTTGATGTGAACAGTAACTGAAGCTCTTGGCCTGTACCTGTATGATTGTATGCATTGCACACCTGACAGATGATTAGATAACTGCATGAATGTGCAGGTGTACAGGTGTTTCTAATAAAGGGT